ATCTAATAATATAATTTCCTGTTTGTATAATATATAATATAATTTCCTGTTTATATTAATGGCACTAAGTAAAACCACACTGGCACCACGCTGGGGGGGAATCATCCTACTTTTGTACAACTGACCAATACAGAGGTTTTGGTGAAGTGGTTCAATCCCTACATATTAACACACCTTAAAGCTCCAAAGGCAGTGAGACTGTGACACAACTGCTGCACCGAGACACTCAAATCACGAGCAAATGAGTTACCTGGAGCAGCTCCACGGCTCAAAAATAAAACCTGGCACATGCAATTCGATTAGCCTGGGCTGAACACCATGCTCATGTGCTGAACTTCAACTCAAAGGAGCGTCTGGAAGATGGAGCACTGCTTAGTGTGCACCCAGCAACTCTTCCCATGTTCGTTCAGCTATCTGCAGTACGCTGCACGCTGCTGGAACAACTCAAGCTCCTAAGAAGGATGCTTTTAAAACTTGCAGATCTTGAAATCACACTTAAATTTAATAATGCTGAGTAATCCTAAATGTTTATCCCATGTCATAAATCTATTATGCAGAACCTGGCTTTTCATCGTAAAATTCAAAATCAGTGATGCAGCCTTAAAAAATAAATGCAGTAATAAATGAAAAGTATTTCAGCAAAATACCAGTGAATTTCTGGCATGAAAGCAATCTGTAGAGCCCATCCTATAACTACAGCTTTGACATCAACTACCTTTGCTTGGAAAACCAGGAATTTCCTGCCAATGCAATATGCATCTTGCTGGCCAGACGTAGATAAGGTTAAAAGCAGGGTAGCAGAACATTTCTGATGAGAAAAGCATCCCAAAAGGCACCTAGTTGGTGCTAGGATGAGAGGAGAACAAATCCTTTTTTTTATACATCTCAGAAAGTTAATTTAAAACAATCTCAGGAGGTGAAATGCCAAGATATTAATACCGACTGCACCAGGAGACCATCTTATAAGTGACATAAACGTTACAAAACAATCTGAAATTCGGCCAGGCTGTTAATAGACAGCATTACACAATTCCTGACGCAGCCAGATAATGCTGCATTTCCACCATGCAAATTTCTAACAGTGAATAGATTTGGAAAGGAGTTTACACCCACTGCTCCTCGGATGCAACTTGGTAATTTGCTATTAGGTGCCAAGCTGTCATTTACGAGTCACTTCAGCCCACTGCTATTCTCTGGTCTACCTTGTTATCACAAAGGAGCCACCAACCAATGCCACTTGATTAAAATGTATGAGCCCTATAGGAACCTATTTTTAAGCCTCTAAACGAGTACTGCTGTTGTATTAAGAGCTTTCATTTATTTTGCCATTAATACTGATCTTCTCCTGCTAAGCAAATACTGTAATTCCCTACCCTTTCCCCATTTCAGGAGAAAAACTCTGTTCTTCAAATATTTTTATCCATTATTACAAAGTCATTGTATTGTGGGAACCTATCAGAAATCTTGCTTGGAGAAAGGAAGGGACGAGAGGCATGGAGCTGGTACTTAGGGCCTGGTTCACCTTATTTAACTGAATTCACCTTACCTTTGCTTTAGATACACAAATATTTAAGGATGTATGTTTTTTCAGAGGTAGCAGGGGTGGAAACAGAGAACTGACCCCCTCAACACATACAATCCCACACTTTTATGATGGTGCCTCCCGTGCTGCCATCCTTCACCGATCTCCTCCTGGCTTCACAACACAGACACCGTGAAAAAACACAGCTCAGGGGCCTGACGTGGCACAACCAGCATTACTTTTTCTTCCCAAGCTATCTTTCCCCAGTTATTGGTTTTTAGCCAGACCACTCCTCTGGTTACAGCAGTTGATCTGCTAGGGACAGAGGGCACGACACAGGCACTGAACAGGTTGCCCAGAGAAGTTGTGGCTGCTCCATCCCTGGAGGTGTTCAAGGCCAGCTTGGATGAGGCTTTGGGCAACCTGGTAGAGTGAAGGGTGTCCCTGCCCATGGCAGGGGGGTTGGAACTAGATGATCTTTGAGGTCCCTTCCAACCCAAACCATTCCATGATTCTATGACACAGAAGACAACCAAGCAGGAGATCATGGGAAGCTGTAGGTGCAGCACTGACACCAGCCAGCACCAGCTCCTGCTTGTGGAAACGTCCCACCAGAATATGCTTCAGGTCTGTTGGCAGAACAACACAAAGAAAATCTGTAAAGAATGTATCATCTGATTTTACTTCTCCCTCTCACAAATATGAAAATCTCAGCATATCAACTCTGCCATCCTTAAAGCGTTTCATGAAATGCTCAAACCCACAAAAGAATTGAATTATTTGTCTTCAAAATGCTTTAAATACTAGTGTCATGCAAAGGTTGTAATCTCTCTCTAGGCTGCACATTGTGCTGAATATCTCTGAATGATGGAAAGAAAAACTCGGAGCATCACACAATGCAAAAAAAAAAAAATCTGTGTGTACACAGAAGGGTGCTCAACACCTCCTCCAACACAAAACTTCTCTCCAAAATGACTGAAAAATTAGTGGTGTCAAGTCAGAAAATTACCAGGAGACAAAAGATGGGGACGTGGATTAGTCACACTATTCCTACACACAGAAACTGAAAATTAAAACCCACAGATTTGTTTCTCATTAGAGATCTTCGCACTGGTCTCAAGCCCACTATTTTGTCTGTCCTGCTGTGCCATTGTGTCTGTCTGTCCTGTGCTCAGCAGAACGGACCTACTTAGAGCCACTAAGGGTGACTAACTCTAGATAGGAGCTCCCTCTCCGTAGGAATTTCACAGAGGCAGAAAAAACGGATGCATAATTCCGCTTGCAAAACCGTCAAGCACGGAAACACGAAAGGCTGTAAATAATTCACTCTGTATTACAGGAAATGTTCTACAAATGAAAAGGTTGTAACCTCTTTTTGGCTACGAGGCTGGCAGATGCTGGAGGCTTTCCTGCTTCTCCAAGTGCAGAACAAGACGTGCCCTGTTTAGGAGAAACCAGCAGTGATTCTTGGTTCCCAGTCCTCCCCAGCACTGAATGGAAAATGCTTCTGCCGATATTTCTGACGGATGGATCACAAAGGAGTGAAGCCTGCACACTTCTAGAAAGCCAGCTCAGGCTGACTAGCAATTTCTTGTGTTCTGATGACCACAGCTGCTGTAATGCACAACACAGAGCTAAGATAACACGAAGGGAATGGATAAATTCAAATTATTTATATTTACTTTCACACAATTGTTTAAAGATACGCATGCACAAGCTAAAAATATGCATGCAGTGATTACAGATGACTCAATAATGAATGTCTGATGCAGTCTGAAAACAGTGACAGCAGTCAAATCACTGGAAATAAGATTATCTCCAACCTCAAAGGGGTGACCACGTGGCTGAGGACAGATTCTAGCCCAGTACATGGAAGCAATTCCAGGTAAAGAGACTCTCTTGCTTTAACTCTTTATCACTAAACAATATTTTGCAACAAACCTTAGTGAAGGTCCCTCTAGTGCCTCCCTCACCAGGTTAGTTGGTAGCCAAACACAATGATGTTTTGAGTAGAAAAGAAATCTGAAACTCACCTGTATGTTGCCAAAGTCCACGTTTTCGTAATGGAAATGTGCACACTCAGCCATCTTCGGGAAATGACCCTTTGTAAAGGATAACCTGAAGCACACCAAAGGCACACCATAAGAAACAAAACACTGAAACAATGCTCAGCATCAAGGACTGTTATAAAATGCAGTCACTGACAGAAAATAGTAATGACTTTCTCATCCTAAAGCCAAGGGAACCGAGGGGTTTGCTGATGTGATGCACCAAAACAGAGGAGAAAGGAATTGAGTGAGAAAGGAAAACTAAATCACAAAGTGGCTTTTATCATCGCATCCTTAAAGAACTGTGTAGCATTTCATCAACACCAAAGCCCACATCTTTAAGAAACGGTGCAGGGAGAAGCTGCTCTACCTTCACAAATGCATTTTTGCAGTGCAAAGAAACAGCCTTACACGAGACACAGAGGAAAGTAGAACTTTACCTGTGAAAGGCATCACAGCCCATCAGTCCCGGGTTGATGTATCTGAGGGTGCAGAACAAACGCTATTTATCCTTTGCCTTTGCAAAATTCAAAAGTGAGGCATCATTATTCCCAAGTGTCTCCAGCTACAATGATGGCTGATGGGGAGATCCTCTCCCTCTGCAACATGCTCTTGCTTCTGCTGAAGCTATTATAGACTCCTATAGATATTTCTGGTGGGGAGCCAATGAGATTGTCATTATCTAGCTTTCTCTTCCCACGGGAATGTAAGTGGGAAGTGAGAAGCAGCATCTGGCTGCTCAGCACTAGAACAAAGAGCCATTTCCCTCACAGCACTAAAGAAAGGTGATCTGAACGCACGGATCAATCAATATTGGGGAGTTCTGGTCCTCAAGTCAGCGTTCTTAGCACAGACAAGGCAAGTAACAGTGATCACTTCTGATCCCCTTTGCAGGTCAGAGGTTTGAAACCTTAGCTGCAAACATAAGTTGGTTTATGTTCTCTAAGAGAGAAAGAGAGTGTAAGCCCACAGGAAAAAAAAAAAAAAGAAAAAAGAAAAGGTACAGGGCAGAATGAAAAAAAAAAAGAAAAAATATTAAATAAAAAAATATATCTAGGCCACCCACTTGTCCTGGTTTAGCTTCTCAGAGCACAGAGAGGGAAAATGATCTCATTTATACATTGCCTGGGCTTCTCTTTAGGTTTTTCATATATATCTCTCTCTATCTTCTTTTCTTTTGTTTTTTAATTTATCAGTTTCAGGAAGAAATCACAAAAATTTAAAAATACAGTAACCATGAGGTTCAAGACCCTTAACAAGCTTTGCTTCTATGGCCAGAAAAAGGTGAGAGAGCCAACAAAACCTCTCACATTCCCAGTTTTAGACTACATGAGCTGTTATTTACTCTGTTTTGTATGGATTTTGGTTGCTCTAATGAAGACACCATCAAGAATCGTTGCGCTAAACCCCAGGATATCAAAACCAGAAGCCCAAAATAGACAGGAAAAATCAAAGAACACAACACTGCTCTTACTTTTTCACATTCTTCACTTTCATACTTGCTGTGCTGCCACAGGTCCGGAGCGGCAACTCCCCTGGAATGTCAGGGATATCTGCACCTCTTGCCTGCAAAAAGAAGAATAAAAAAAGCAAGGAATTTAAAATATGACTGCACGCTGTGGACTGCCTCCTGCTAAGCAGCAGCCTATACATTTGTACATATATGTACAAACACAGCTCAAATCTCCTATGTGCTAAAAGCTGAACTGCTGCCTTTTTAACAAGGAAAACAAGGAAAACTGAACCTCAGGTTTATGACCTAGTATGATTATCTCCTCCTGAGCCATGTTGTATATGCAACTGTCAGATCCAGTATTTTATTCATTACTACTTCTGGTTTCTAAAGAAGAGATTTTCAGAGGTAGGAGCCTAACATACATTCCTAAACTCCATACGTCTCATCAAGTATCTGATTTTCCAAACACCTGTGCACTTAGATTCAGGCAGAGGCACTGGAAGAAGCTGGATACCTCATACAGTGGAAAACCAAGTTCATGACAAAGCTGCTTGTATGTGGGAGGTAGCTTTTAAAAAAGTTGTTTGAAGCCATTGGTGTAAGTGCATGAACATACTAAAATTCATTTATTTTAGTGAGGCCAGAACTTCAACCTCCCTCTTTTTGTTTGTTCAGTCATGCTTTCCCATCCTCTCCCTCCTCCAGCTGCTTTTCCATAAGCCATGAGCTCTGCTGGGCTAGCGTTCAGCATCACGGGGGACTCAAACGCTCAGCACCACGTCTTTCTCTTGCCGTAAGCTCTACAGGAATGAGGGGTTTTAGGTGAGCCTTTTATGAAGGCAGCAGTGTTCCACCAAGAAGATCATCACAGACTTCACAGAGCAGGAGGAGAAATATGTTGGCCAGAGACAGCTCATTAGTGATGTGGGTGAGACAACTCGAACGAGCTTTTCTCTGCTTTACACCATGCACTACAAAACATGAATAATGTCCAAAATAGTGAATGCTCAAGCCAGGGGCAGAAAGGCACTTCAGTATTTCCTCTCTTGCAGGCCTGGAACAAAAAAGTGTTACATCAAATCCATTTTCTAATGACAGGAATAAACCTATGACTTCCCTGACCCAGACCAGTACCAATGCTTCTACGCTGGTCCACCAAAAGACCTCTGAACTGAGATGATCACTCCAAAAGCTGTTATGCACAACATATCCGAACACAATTGCATGCTGCAGTGTAAAACATGGAAACAACTTGGTCCTTGCCCTCAAAACTTCAGTCAGACAATTACAGTTGATGCTAGAAGCCTACATTCGGGACGAACAATGGGGGAATCTTTCTTATTCTCCTCCCTGAAGCTCTCATTTTAGCCTGACATGGATCATTTTAGCTTCACCACATCATAAAGAGCTGCAGTAAATAAGTCAAAACCATTCACCATGCCTGTATTCATTAACTAAGAGCATCAGAGCTGGAGGGAGTGATTCATCTCATTCAGCTCCAGACACGCAGGAGGTACGCAGCTACAACTGTCTTATCTACCCGAGGCTACTTTTATAGTCACCAGAGATAAACAGGCACTTTGGGCCCAGTTCATCTGCTTTAGACAACTAGATTAGGTCAAAAGCAACCCTGTTCTCCCTTGGTAGAGGAAATCCATGAAGACCCTGGCTCAAATGCAGACATACACTGTAGACAGCCACGTCCATCCAACCAACATCACCGTGGCTTACGTAGGACTGGAGTAGAGCACAAGTCCTCTGCACCCAGACAAGCTCCTGCAATTTATACCACTGCCCTTGGAAAAGCAATGCTGCAGCTGTTAGGAGTGAGCTCCCCCCCTGTCAACACTACTCCATAAATTTGCAACCAGAACGTAAGCGATGCTTCAGCTCCATCGTCCCACAGCTGCCCAGAACACGCACACCCACCCTCTGAAGAAACACAAAGACAACATTTATACCCTTAAATAAACCTATCCTTGGCTGACTGACTGTTACTAAGCACACAATTACTTCGGTGTGTAATAGGACACTTGAGAGTCTCACTGTGAATTTTAACATTAAGAGGATCACCAATTTAATAAACCTTACAGGTCCTTTACATAAGAAAATCACTAATTACAGTAATAAATGTGCCATTCCTGTAAGCTGCTTTTAGGCAAAGCTGGATGTGCTTGCCTTAATTTTCTAAGGAACAGAATTTCTGTAGGAAGGAAAATAATTTTTTCTCCATCAGCAGTCGAAGCTGGTGGGATATAAAAACGGAAAAACAGATCTGACAGAAAAACGTCGGCTTCAAGCCAGTTTGCAGCAGTGGGTAGAGACTACCCTGGATCTGACTCAAAGCAGTGGAGGCAAAACTCACACCTCCAGGAGACTTAAATGCCAGCATCTCTCTTCGAAAAAGTTGTATTATCCTCTTCTTCCCAGTTGAGTTATGTCCAAATCGTGCTGGAAGGAGCTATCTGCCTCTCCCATTGCAACAGCACATATCCATTTGAATGGACTACAATGAGATGCAACAGAGTAATTAACTTCGGTCGCTTTTCCAATTAGATCTGAGCTCTTTGGACTCTGCTGCAGAACAACAACCTCTCATAAGTCTCACAGTTGAGGAAAAAGGGCAGACTGGTGATGTTGTGCAAGCTAATTTTCTTTGGTATGAGCTACTAACACCAAAAAAACTTGGTGAATAGATTGATAAGCAAAAAAAGAGAAACTTACTGCAATTTTAGAAACCATATTAGTCCAAAATAAACTGCAACTACTTTCCATTTAAACCAAAGATACATGACTACATGAAAGCACACTTTATTCACCACTAGTTGGCACCCGTTCCGATCCAAAACCTGGCACACAAAATGTCACCCTCGACTACCCTCCTCTCAAAACACTAACAAAACACTCCAAACGAGATTTGTCATCTTTTGTGCTTTGTGTCACAGCAATTTGGTTTTAAAAATCATTTTGAAACAGCTGAATTATTTACATTGGAAAATTAGCCAGCTAGCAGCATCAGCTGCTTCTCACCTGCCTATTTTCTGTGCATCACCGTTCTGTGGAAACCTAGTAATTGCATAGCAGATCTGTTTATGCAAATTATTTAGTCCCATTTTCACAGCTTAATGTCACTGCTGCGTCTATCTGCTTTGGTCCAAAGCTTGGTAAACAAATTAGGGCTTGATCCAGAACGTAGCCAATTGAGTTCATCAGGATCCGTGGTCCTCTTACGTTTCAGAGGAAGGTTTTTTGAGCAAAACCACTTCCCCAGTCTCCCCTGAACTGAGATGTTCTCCCGTGAAGAGCACTAAAGACCACACTTATATTAGTAGCAGCTGGGAAAATATTTGAGAACTTCAGTATTTTATGACAGATACCTACATCGATTGTGAGGCAGGTAGATACCACTGAAATGTTTGCTCTAAGCAAATTTGGGAGAACACCTGTCTGTCTGTCCCACCCCCTGATGGATGATCATTCCATTTTTAAATCATCGCAGTTGTTTGATCGGTGGGTACCAGAAGGATCCCCGAAGCACCTACATCACTTGTGCAATTTTCAGTTGTTGCTGCTAAACTCCATAAACTCTCTAAATCTGACAGCTCTCACAAACCAGGGTGTCCAGCTTCGAGCCTGCAAGTCTGAAATTTTTGGTCTTTATGTTTACAGACATGATTTGGAAAACTTCAGCTTCGCACTCTCTAGCACACAAAACCTTAGTCATAAATAATTTATATCTAACAACTCTCCACTGCATAATATAGAAGGATTTTCTCCCCAAAAGTCTCACTGCATTTATCAGAAAACATGTCAACCCACCTCCCTCACATCCAGAAACGTAACACGATTTGAAAATTCACGTTAAATCAAAGAAAAAAGTCCAGTGAACAGGATGTGATAAAGTTTCCACCTTGGTATCCTCAACAGGGGAGAATATTGAACCTGTGCAAAACCCATGGTCCTCCTCCTGCTGCCACATCCTCCTGCTGGGATGCAGAAGAAGAGAAGGAAGGGTGGAATCCCACCGAGCTCCAAGAATCCCATACCTGGTGAACTGGTTTTCCATAATACTACTGGAAGACCCCTGAGGAGGTATCACATACAGGAACGGATACAACACAGGACTTGACAGGTCAGCGTGTACCCAGGCTACTGAATTCAAGTGGGATTTCTGAAGGTGGAAATTTACTCCTCCCCAAGGTTAACAGAAAGCAAGAATAACTATTAGACAGGCAGTAACATTTATGCGTCTTCCTACCATCAGTCTCTCAACAAAACCAGTTTGGAAGGACCAGATTGCTCTGGATTCTTTGAGCACATGGCCTTGTTTCTAAAAATGGCAGAGCTGATTCAAAATGCTAGTTGGTTTCCATGGCAGTTTTTCCTTTACATCATCTTCATTTCTCCTCGACTTTCTTGGAAGAAGGGGAAAAAAAAGAGGAAAAAACCCCAAGACAAACCCCCCCAAAGCTTTTCCAAAAAAACCAAACTTTCTTAAGAGTTTTACTCCTTCACTGCAGAACAGCAGGAAACAGAAATGTTTCAGTAAAAGTCGCAGCCAGACTACACGGTTCAATATCTGAGGTGGGTGCTTGTGCACAAGGACATCAACAGCTGTTCCAAATGTTTGGTACCAACTCCCTACACAAAGGTGGCTCGGCATCACCTTCTTTCCTGAACTTTGCTACGTTAAGAAAGAAACTGTCCTACAAATATCCCTGATCACTCGAGGTAAAAGATGATGGCTCCATCAGCACCATCCTGCTTTTACCAATTAATGCTCAAGAGTTAGCCTGAAGCACAAGGAAAGAAGAGACATGGTTCATCTCAGCTTCCCATTCCACAACCATTCCACTCCAGGGAGAGAAAGCTCTTTCTGCTCTCACTTTCTGTGTTGTAATGACTATCCTGGATCTCCACAATAAATAAATCAACAAAGCAAAGGGAAAAATGCTTTCACTAAACTAAACCCAAGTCACCATGTCCAAGCTACTACGAGTAACTCCAAATGAAAGGTCTCAGTTCTGCAGCATTTATCTGCCCAAGCACTATCCCTAAAAGGATTAAAATGTACCTAAGCACGGGAAGGCTGTAACTGGGTCACTTTTCT